ACAGACAATTTTTCAGCATTTCTATAGAAAATTGCAAAATTTTAATTTTTCAAAATTTGAATATCTTTTGAACATATTGAGCTGCAGTATTTATATTTACAGAAGTTAAAAATGAGTGTTGTATCAATATATACTTATTTGAATTTATAATCAAAAAGAGGTTAATTTATGCCTATTTTCTCAGCATTCTCCTTCATCTCTTATCAGAGGATAAAAAAGACTTATATTTTTTGTATTTTTGGGTCCTTTTCATGCCAGAGGATCTTATTCTGTGTGGGTTTCTTATTCCGAATTGTCATATTGTATATCTTTGTTTGAAAAGCATATTTTAATTGTTTTTTTCATTTCATTCATTCCTAATTTACCAGGAGAACCAATCAAATGAGTTCCCAACTTCCCATTGAAGTATATGGGAAAAAAAGGTCCAACATGCAGACATTCCAACATACGAACACTGTTGAAGCACCGATTCTGTCCGCATCTCGGGGTCTCACTTACTACTTATGGGTGCGCTTCAGAAAAGCAGGCAAAAAGTAATTGCCAGCAAATCCGAAATAAAGATCCCTAGAATGAATTACAGTATAAATGAAATTCTGAATAAAGGTGTGGTTTACTTCAAATAAAAATATATTCTCCTCATTGTAATGAGAGTGGAGAAGATCTTTTCTATTAATTAATTTTGCATAATTTTTTAAATTGTTCCGCCGGAAACTCACACTGTTTTGAAAATGCCGTCGGATTTTGAGTGAATGTTTGGTAACTGCTGTGCGGAAGAGTTCGATGCTATTTATACCCCTTTCTTGTGAGAAACATTTTCAGGACACTTGACATTTTCTGAAAATTCTTCTTCGTTACTTTTTTTGTGCTCAGTGTTTTTTCGTACATTATTTGACATTTCTTTGCGGATGGGGGTCGTTGACATTTCGCACGAAACGTTTCAGAGATTATATAGACGTCTGACGATTTCTTTTACATGTGGTACTGTACTTTTTTTACACGTACTCTATTGTTTTTCAATTTTTCTCTGTTGGGAGTTGGGACTGTCCGCAGTTTTACTGTTTCAGGCCATCAACATGGCCTGAATCTTGGAGCTGTGCTGAATCTTGGAGCTTTACGAACAGGAATGAATCCTTGAGAATTCTTCAATATTTATACATAATCCAAATATGCAAAAAAATATTTTTTACAGTAGAATCTCGTTGTAAAAAATAATTCCTTAGCATACAATTGTTTTTCACGGTCCATGACTCCCTATATCCAATAGCCACAATATACTATTTCAGTTTCGTTTTAACGAGTTTTTCTTCATATCGAAATGTTTCCAAAGGTACCAAATGTTTCGTTGAACGAGATTATACTGTATCCGTATGAGAGAGATTTTCCAAACACATTCGCATGTTTAAAATATTTCGGCTGGGGAACAAATTATCGCGAATGCAAAGATAAATAGATTTTTCTGTATACTGTACTTTGAAGAATTCTGTGATGTGGTCATATGGATATGAAGCAATCGTTCATGTTTTCAATGAGCAGTCACAGTTTGCAAGAAGGAATCGGAAAAAATCATGGAAACGCCAGAATTTGAAGCCAGAATTTTCAGCTCGACATTTGTTTTATTGACATTCATTTCCCTTTTATTTCGGACGTCGATGCAAATTAAAATCAGCAAAAAAGCACCATTTTATGTATAGAACACGATCACCATCATAGCAACAAAAGCCGATGCGGAAATATTAACAGGTTTTTGCTTTTTCCATGCCAGGATGTACAGTATATATGTGCAATCATCCTCGTCGATATCCCGAAGAAATGCTGTTCGTTTGTACCTCATTGTCATGGTCAATCATGTAGTCGACGATGCCCTCATACGATGGACCGCAGTATTCATTGCACATGAGTTTGCAGGCTGATGGCAGGTGCATGTAGCAACAAGGTGGGCAAGTGTCGGGGAACTCGAACCTGGGTGCGAAGTAGGTTCGTCCAACGTCAGCGTCGAACCTGCGGACGGGATCCGGTTCCGCTACTCTGTGGTACCGTTGGCCAGATGTCGCCCCAAGGACTGCGAGTACCATCAGCAGGGATGAAGTGGTTGTCATCATCAGTGAGCCCAGCATAATTTCTTCTTTGTTCTAATACTGAACGTTTTTTCAGCGAGGTTTAGGATTTCAGAAGCGCTGATCTCGATAGTGGATTTCAAATATTTTCCTGAAAATTTAGCATAATAATTTAATTGCAAATGTGTTCTGGTCAGATAGTACAGTATTTCTTTTTTTTTTAAACCGTTGACAATTGCATAAGAGCTCGGGATGAGCAAATTTGAGTTATGCTACTATGCTGCTGTGCTATATCACGCATCATCAGGGATATGACTTCCTCGAATTGAGCTCAGAAGGGACCGAAACAATTCCGAAGGCAACTTTTCAGAGGTATGAAAAAAAGCTTTTATATTTCGAGGGAAACAATTATTCGAGGGTAAATTTTCTTGAAATCACTTTTGAAGTCCTGTTCTGCGTAAACTCTCTCCCGTTCGAAACCATTGCCGTTTCTGAGTTCCTCTTGGCGAATTTTTGCAAGCTTATATACCCTATGCGCTTATATATATATATATATATACTGTAGTGTTGACAAAACCGTCTTTTTGCGGTGCTTGATGATTCCACGAAAAAAAAGTTTTTTCGGCAGAAAAGATGAGGATGCCCATTTTTCTTTCCCTATTATTATTGTTTTTTCTCAGCCAAACCAAAATGCCAAAAACGGCAGATAGTGGTGTTGCAAAAGGTCGGCGGGAGGATTACAGCTGCGCAGTTAGCCGGCAGTTACGGTTCTCGCCAAAAACCAGGGTTGCAAAAATATATGAAAAAGGAAACGGATGAGGAGTCATTAATTGGGCGCTAACAGCTTACCCGTCATTTGTCACGTGCGTTCCCCGATCGCATGCAGTAGCAGATCTGATAGAATCCAAGCATGCTCAAAAAATTTTTATACTAATCATTCCACTAAAATTATGCTTTGTCGAAAATTTCTTTCATTTTATTTTTTCGTCAAGTTTCTGCGGTTCCTTCAATTTCACCTTGAATATACAATAAATTTGAATAGAGGGTGGATTCATTTTTCGGTAACGAAAATCGCGTTCTATTCGGCGTCGTACATCATCATAACGAAAATAATTGCTGCATGCGCTTCAGGATTTACTATTCATAGTTCTTTATTCAAGAGACAAAAAAAGACTGCGAATGAAGTTTTCGTTTATTCTGCTGATACTGTATTCTATATACTGTACTGTATATACAGTATATAGATATACCGTATACGCGACTGAAGCCTGAAGGTGTATAATATACGCTGATATTAAAGTGGATGAAGTATATAAATTGTCTGTTTTAATTAGTCAGACTTGACTGATCGGACAGCAGAAGAATATGATAACCAAAAAAACCAGTTGTTATTCCCGTGTACGCGTAAGATGAAAACCTGAAAAAAGAATGACTCATGCAAAAAATCATTTGTATGACTGAATATATACGAGCATACTGAATTGACCTTTTTCCGCATTTAAAATTTATAATTCTTATGTGTAAATAAGAAAAGTTGTGTAGATTTTAAGTAAGAATACGGTATATTCGTAAATCGCTGGGAAAATCATACTTTCCAAGCAAATTCTATGCTGAACGATCAACATTTTCAAGCGCACTAAGTTTTTATGCAATAAGGACTCCTTGCAATAAGCAATCCACTACTGTATTTTCATGGCTTATATTTCATACATGCCAAGTTGTTAACTGTACTTTACAATACTGAACAGTATTGTACAGTACTTCTATCACACGGCGGTTCACCAAAAGTCTGTACAGTAACGTGTACAGTATTATGAAGTTAAAAGATAATGTGCGAAGGACCTAGATCATAAATAACATTCAAATGTTGGGTATTTCCCGAAATGCTCGAGAGCAATAAATTAAAAGGAATATGAAGGACAGATGATCGATTTGAAATCACAGTACAGTAATAAAGTAAAGCACACCAAAACTTTTGAACTGCGCGCGCCTAGTTCTGGTTCCACGTTCATCTTCCAATGGCGGCGTTCAAGGTCCTGCCGCAAGTTCCAGCCGATCCTCCGGAATTCTTGGCAAGTTATCGAATTAGCAACCCGGCTGAATTGCGTCGCACTGGTCAGCGGCTTATGAGTGGGTGGTGGCCTTGGTGAAAGTAAAATTCTGTGAAACTGCGTGACTCGGCGCGTTGGCGATCAATCTGTGCAAACGCACTTGTGCCGCGTTTCGTTTTTGCGTGTTTCACCATGTGCGAATTTAAATTTTTTAACGTTCCTTGAATCCATTTTTTCGAATCTTGGTGTTCGTGTGCTGCGACTGCGAGATAGTATGGAAGCGGATGCGTTAAGTTCGAACACTTCCGTTGACGAAAGTAAAGCTGATGGTGACCATCCAAGTCGTGATTTGATCGCAGATGGTATAACCGGCGTGTTAAAGCCGCTCGTTGATAAACTTGAAGAAAAAGTCGAAGCCACCAAGTACGTTTTTTGGATTTGTGTGTTGAATCGCGATATCCTAACTTCATTTTCGAACGACAGGCTCAGCCAAGCCGCGTTGGATAAAGAATTGGATGATATTTCCCGGGATTTAGAGGCAATCGCATTCATCAGTGATCCGCCGGATCTAGAATTGGAAGAACACGTGAGACGACTGGCAAACGCAAAACGTCGCGTGTTGGTGGTGAATAATATTCTTCACAACGTTCAGGCAAGTTTTTGTGCGGCTGGAAGGCATATTTGAAGTTATTTTCTTATTGATTCTTTGTTTTATGATGCGTAGGAAAGATTAACGAGGCTCCATCAAAATATTATAAAAGAAGCTGCGCGAAGAAAAGCGCTGACGGAGCCCTCGCCCATATCAACGCCTACTGCTCCAGTCGCTGGCGCAACCGCTGAAAGCTGAGGAAGTTCATTTCGTCTATTCCCGAAACAAGTGTGATTGATTTTGCGTATGGAGACGCCAGACTTGTCTCATTTTTCCGCGAATGACTATGAAAGGCTCTATGAGCCCGCAGAAGATAGCTTTCTGTTGCTTGACGCGTTGGAGGCCGACCTGGCTTGGCTTAGAGGAGCTGCTAAGCCCTGGCTGTGTTTAGAGATTGGATGTGGGTCGGGCATAATTTCGGCGGCGATTTCTAATCTTCCTCACGGCCCTTTGTGTTTTGCAACTGATATCAGTAATTTTGCCTGTCAGGCTGCTCCGAAAACTGCGAGGCCCCGTTTGGTGGAAACAGTGGAGTCTGACCTCTCGTTCTGTTTCCAACCACGACTTGGGGGTAAAGTGGATTTGCTAGTATTCAATCCACCCTATGTACCTACCGATGATGACGAGGTTCAGGTGGACACCGCGAGACGTTGGGCTGGGGGTGAAAACGGACGTCGTGTAATAGATCGATTGTTGCCTGATGTTCATGAACTTCTTTCTCCTGGAGGACGCTTCTATCTTGTGGCGTTGGCGCAGAATGATCCTTCAAATATTTGTGAAGTGCTCAATCGCAGTGGTTTGGATTCTTCTGTGTTTCTCACCAGGAGATGCGGCATAGAAATTCTGAACGTTGTGCGAGCTGTGAAGCCTTCCAGTCGTTGATTGTCTGCGATTCAGTATGGTGCATGATGTTGAACAATATTCCATTCATTTCTGATGACGTTTGATTCAACGGGTGTGCACTGTAACATTGTTTTCGTTTTTTCCGCAGGTTTTATTCGTTTCATTTTATCATATCCTTGCAAACATTTCTTCGCGTTGAGCTACTTTGATCGTGTGCCTATTTTGAAGTGAGTTGGCCGTTTGATCTTTTTCGGCAATTTTGATGGGTTTTGGTGCGGGTTGAGAAATGCAGCAACACGACTATTGTCTTACGGTGGACCAGGAATCGCGGCAGGATGTCCTGGGTACAATTGATGATGCAAACTATGCCTGGGCACTGGGAAATAGTTCAGGACAGTGGTGAGTGTTCTTTTTTTTTCATCTGAACGTTGAACAGTTCTACGTGAAGGATGTCGTAGAATTCATTGTGCACTTCGATGTACTGTATTACAATCTAGATTGTAATTGTGCTCCTAGACAAAATGGCGAAACGGGAACACGGGGCTTCCCACTTACTGTATTGGTCTTGTTTGCTATGATGCAAATGAGACTTCGAATTCATTGCGGATTTCTTATTGCACAGTAAATTTTTGGGCACCTTGCAGTTGTTAAACTCGTCTGCGATTCCACTTTTTTTCGGCTCTCGTATGTGTTGAACCGATACCATCAACGGTTCGTCCGGCACATGAGAAAGTCCTTACCTCTTCAAGAAAGGTTTGACGGTTCTGTTTTTTTCTTTGAAGAAACCGATGCGTTTTCCAGAGCAATCCGAAAAAGCACGAGAACATCCAAGTCCTGCTTTAATGCTGAAAGTGTCACTTCGCGCTCCAGACTATGAAATCGTTGATGCTTTGTTTTCACTGTATGAAGAACCGGAATGCCGAGACGTTGATTGTTTCAGATACTCGCGATGGAAAAATGTTATCTTCTGAAAGTTAATTTCATTATTGCGGACTCATTCAGTGGGGACANAGCAACACGACTATTGTCTTACGGTGGACCAGGAATCGCGGCAGGATGTCCTGGGTACAATTGATGATGCAAACTATGCCTGGGCACTGGGAAATAGTTCAGGACAGTGGTGAGTGTTCTTTTTTTTCATCTGAACGTTGAACAGTTCTACGTGAAGGATGTCGTAGAATTCATTGTGCACTTCGATGTACTGTATTACTGTAAAATCTAGATTGTAATTGTGCTCCTAGACAAAATGACGAAACGGGAACGCGGGGCTTCCCACTTATTGGTCTTGTTTGCTATGATGCAAATGAGACTTCGAATTCATAGCGGGTTTCTTATTGCACAGTAAATTTTTGGGCACCTTGCAGTTGTTAAACTCGTCTGCGATTCCACTTTTGAAGCCGAGAGCATACACAACTTGGCTATGGTAGTTGCCAAGCAGGCCGTGTACTCTTTCAGGAATGGAGAAGTTCTTTCCAAACTGCCAAGACAAAAAAAGAAACTTCTTTGGCTACGCAAAAGGTCAGCAATCCGAAAAAGCACGAGAACATCCAAGTCCTGCTTTAATGCTGAAAGTGTCACTTCGCGCTCCAGACTATGAAATCGTTGATGCTTTGTTTTCACTGTATGAAGAACCGGAATGCCGAGACGTTGATTGTTTCAGATACTCGCGATGGAAAAATGTTATCTTCTGAAAGTTAATTTCATTATTGCGGACTCATTCAGTGGGGACAGTCCTGAGCAAACCAGCGGAGTCGCCAGCTCAGACGGCTCGTGCAGCGACGGTTCGAACTCTTCGTATTCCTATACAACGTGCAACTCTCCGCCTGGACGCATTCGTCCCGCCAATAATTTTATGGCTGCAGGTAAAGGGTCTGCCAGACGGGCGAAAAAGAAGATGGTCATGATTGCGAATCCCCTGTCGGAAAGCTACGTTTCGAAAAGCAAGTTTACTAATGCCGAGCTGCGGATCATCAACCAGCCCGAGTCCCAACACCGGGCTCGCTATTTAACCGAGGGCAGCCGCGGTGCTGTCAAGGATAGGAAAGGAGATGGATTCCCAGTTGTCCAGGTATGTCCTTTCTTCTTCGGTGTCTCTCGAGTGCTTCATATGACGTATAAAATTTATAAAATGAAGTCGAGTTGATACCGTATAATGTAAGAATTTAATTTTTGTGTTCCGTGATTCATTGTACAGGAGTGGGGCCCCGATTTGCGGACGTAAATTGTCGCTTGGGCCTTGTCTCTATGTCGTAACGTCCGCATGTCGGATCACGTTCTCCCATTAACTTCAATATGCTCATCTAAAATTACGAAAGATTCTCCCAAAAAATTGGAGTGTAACTTTTTTTCTCAACTCGGAAATACAGAAAATAACTGTGCAAAATATAATCGCACAGAATCAGACCTTTTGGCATGAAAAGGAGCCCAGAAAGTAGGGAACATGCGCAAGTCTTGTTGTACTCTGCGCAGATACAGTACAGTAATTGAAAAACTCTTAAGAATTAAGTATGGAATTAGCCCGTTTTGGACTATGAATTAGACTAGTTTGAGAGAATTTATACTAACATTTATTTTAAGTTTTTCTGAATCTGTAAAGCTCAATTTGTTCAAGAGGTACCAAATTTTTGATACCAAAAAATGTTTCCGTTTCTTCCTAGAAATCATGTTGAAGTGTCTGTATCTCAAAACGCTGTCCAGATGTTGGGGCAGATTTTTTTGTTTAAAATTGTCCCTAAGTCGAATTCTCTGTATAAGATTCTGAGTACTTGGAAGATTTGAGAAGAGAGAGCACTTTCTACTCGTTCAATTCCTAAAGAAAAGAGCTTGCAGCAGGTAGGCTGCGATATACCGAAAAAAATTTTTCTTTAAATTTCCGATATTTTCACGTACAGAAGATGTTCTGAAGTGGAATTCAATCTTCCGCTGTATTTTAATAGTACAGTAGTTCCGAAACTACCATCTTCACCTTCAAATCACTAAAGGATATCGGACCGTTCGGTATCAGAAAATATGCGATCGGTTCAGAGTCGCCGGGAAATGTGAAGCATTCTACAAATCTGCTGATTTTTTCGTGAATTTCATTTACGTGCAAGAACACGTCGACGATTACAATCGCGTCTGTGTGCGCGGTAGATTTTCCAAAAAGGAATTGTTTTTTATTTTACTCAACCGCTATTAAATTCATTTTTCAGCTTCGTGGATATTCAAAGCCGACCACTCTTCAAGTTTTTATCGGCACAGATCAGGGAAAAGTTGGGCCACACATGTTCTATCAAGCTTGTCGAGTAGCTGGAAAGAACTCTACGCCGTGTGGAGAAACCAAAATAGGAGGAACCGTTGTATTGGAGCTGACCATGGAACCAAGCAAGGAAATGACAGTTTCGTAAGTACCTCGCACTTGACATAAAAGCGTCGTCGACGTCCGTTTCAAAAGTTATTTATTTTTCCTTTTCAGTTGCGACTGTGTTGGTATATTGAAAGAAAGGAACGTGGATGTCGAACAGCGTTTTCCTGACCAAGCGAGCACGTCGACAAAGAAGCGTTCAACCAAATGCAGACTCGTTTTTAGAGCGAAGCTGGAGCACAGTGGCGGATTCAGCGAAATCCTCCAGACTGTTTCTCAGCCCATTAGTTGCAGTAAGTGTTATATTTTGGCGAATGTGCACAAAATTAGTATTGAGTAAACTTCGTGAATTTCCCTTATAATTAAATTTTAATTCTTACAGCTCAACCACCGGGCGTGCCTGAAATCTTGAAGAAATCGCTTTCGAGTTGCTCAATGGAAGGCGGCGTTGAGTTAATAATACTGGGAAAGAATTTTTCCAAAGAGGCAAAAGTTATATTTAAAACTCCTGGTCCTGAAGATGATGATTCTTGGGAAGTGGAAGTGTCCCCGCAGAAAGAATTTCTCCACCAGGTATGCATTTTTCCTCTTGCCAAATGTATTATTAAATTATGAATTGAGCTTATATATATATATTTTTTTTTAGTTGCATTTGCTGTGCATCGTTCCGCCGTTTAAAGACCTTGATCTGAAGAAAAAAGTGGAGGTCGAGCTTACGATCAAATGTGGAGGACAGTCATCTGACCCGCATCCGTTTTACTTTACCCCAGTATTACCATCATTGGAATCGTTGAAAGATTCTCTGCCAGATGAAATCAGTGAGCTTTCTGGTCCCATTTCTTTTTTTTTATGGGAGTTTTTTTAAATTTAATTGTGACCATTTCTTCCAGTCGTAGGGGTGACGCATCAAACATCAGTGGATGACATTTCTAACCGTAAGTTCGCTCTCCTACGTTTCTGTTCAGATTTTATATGTGTTGTTTGAATTCAAATTAATTAGATTGGGATTCCGAGATGAAACCCTTGATGTGCGTGAACCGGGTCTACGAAAACGACTCACCGAGGGAAGACATTTCAGTGCATTTGGAAGGTGATCAGAAATTTTTCTTGACTGACGTTGGAACAGCAAATCACTTGATGCACGATCCAGAGCAGGGATGTTTCCACGAGAACGGTCAGTTCACGTTTCAAGTCATTATCACGCCAGTATTTCTTGAAATTTACTGTTTTTGTAAGTTTCTTTTCGGCCATGTCGCAGTTGAAATTCTGGTTCTTTCATGTTAAAGCTGCCCATGAAGTGTTTCTGCATTCGTTTGAAAGACATATTCACAGCAGAGGCACGGATGATGGGTTATTTATGAATCAGAATCGGTTTGGTTGGGGTTGTCTCACATTTGCAAATTACTGTTTTAAGTCAAGTAAGTTGCCTGTCATCCTAAGTCAGCTTGCGATTGAAATGAATCTGTTCAAGGAATGTCTTCTTGATTAAAAAATTATCTTTAAGCCAACTCTAGAATGAACAATTCCTATTTAGAGGAGATTTCTTGATTCTTGTGACCGAGGTGATCGACAAAACAATGTACCACTTTTTGAAGAAAAGCTATTTTAATAATGTTTTTGCAGCAACACGGCTGGACAGAGAAGTCAGAAAATGATTAAGATGAGAGGTGTTCAGTTACCTAATATCAATTCTGGTGTGCAGTAAAAATGAACGGCACTGAACAGTTCACTGACCGATGAAGTCATATGGTGAAGCAAACCAATTTGCTACACAGAACGTTGGAAGCACAAAACCTGAATACATTTGGTATTATAAACATGTGATAGTGCACTGAAAATAACTTCTGACATACCATTGTTGTTGCATCAGCAAAATTCTACCAAAAATGGGACAAGGAACTACTATTGGTTTCTCCGTACAAAAAAATTCAGAGGACTCAAAAGAAAATTTTTTAGTGGTGAACCTAATGGGACAAAAAATGTGGTTACATGGAGAAAATTGTTGTAGGGAGGGCCTACCTGTTGGAAAGCTTATTGCATCTGAACAAAATGAAAGTCCTTTTCTCCGTTTCAGGGAATGCCATTTCGATGCAGCTGCAAGAATGCTCATTCACGCAGTTCCCAGCGGGCCAAAGACCAGAAGGTGAACTCATGGAGGTGGTTTCTCTGGTTCAGCCGACTGCCGTACCTTCTGAATCAATCGTGGAGCTGAGCTCGGGTTGCCAATCCTCTGCCCCGCTGTGCCACATCGAGTACATCTCGCCGCAACTGACTTTGACAGAGAATAACGACCTTGATGAGCAAATGTGCGGCATGATCTCGGAGCAGCCCGTGGCCCTGGGCAGTGTTCGCCGTTTTAGCGACGCGTCCTCTTCGACACCCTGTCACAAGGTTATTTTGTTGTCCTCTGACACTGTGCACGTGCCTCCTGTGTTCATGACTGCTGGAGATGCCCCAGTCGCGGTGCCTTCTCAATTGGATATTCTGAAGGATGCCGAGCAGTTGTTTACGGAGCTGGCTGGGCATAGTGGGGAAAATGGAAAGGACGAGTTGCCTATGTTGCTGGCTTCCGAGGTGCAATTCCATGCGCCCACGAAGTGCGACGCCGTCTGCAATCCGGGAACGGGAGTACAAACGGGAAACGAAATTTTTCGAACGGGTTTGGATGGTTTTTAAATGGTTTGACGGGACGGGCTCTTCTGAAATCAAAATTGGTGGCTGGCAATAGTACGAACAGCTAATTTAGTCTTCAATAGAACGCTCTATGAACTTCCTTTTTCTTTGGTCGAAGAGCCCTGGTTTTACCAATTGAGTACACTTTTATCATTTTATCGAGAAAGTGAGAGCATTGATTCAAATGCAAAATCAGAATGAGAGTTTGAGCGCGTGTTCTTGAACTCCCGTGTTTTTCTCTAAGCAATATGAAGTCCCAATGAGAATGGAACGAGAGTTCGTACACCTTTCGCGAAAGTTTTCATCGAATATGAATTTATCGGAAATTTTAATAGCTGTCTTTGCCTGTTCGTGTTGTTCCTTCTCGCCTTTCCTGCTTTATTCTATTTTGTACTTCTGAATCGCTGTGTACTATGATGAAATTTGGTAAAGTTGAGTGTATATCCGCACTGCTCGGTCGTGGGGTGCGAGTAATTTTCGTACAAAATGTGAAAGGTCATTAATGATCGTTCTTTATCGAATGGAATCAAATGTCGAAACGGATTTATGCGTGACAGGTTTACGGTTGCAATTAGTGACTTTTGTGCAATTTTTATTAAGAATTGGATGCTGGTTGTGATACGGAAACAGTTTTTGCTTGCCTGAGAGGCATTGTTTTTTTTCTGTTTAGAAAAGGTCCATGTAAAGGGTTACTGATGTGAGGGAAAAGTTATCTCGTTTTATGGCATTTCTTAATTTCAAAAAAATGTCGATGATGATCTCTAGTCTATTTCCAACGGTCCTTCGAGTCTTGTGCGTTCGGAGAATTTTTCGCGTACTCGATGTTATGCCTTGACCATATATTCCAGTATGTGAATACTTGTTCGGCTCTCGAACACCGTAACGATTTTTTTTTAGCCCTAATGTCCGCCGTGCGGAATCGTTTCAAACTTTTCGGAGAAAGGTTCCTCTTATGGGTGTGCAAGCTGAAACGTTGTGTGATAAACGAAGACTGAGTTGGTGAATGACAATTTGCTATTTTGTGTACGGCGAAAATATTAGTTTATACGAATGGCATCTGATGTTGCGAAAGCCTTATTATGGTTACGAATTGTGGGCTAGATGTCGACATTGGGAACTATTCATGCACTCCGTGTATGTAATTCTGAGAGATGCCTTATATGTACTCGTCACACTTTCCTTCTACCATTGCCCTTCGCCGTATCAGATTATATTTAAATGACAGTTTTAAATGTAAGTTTAGTACGAAGAAGTCGTACTAAATTTATCGAGTACCGTACATTTTATCTGCCTTGTTTCCATGGTTATCAGGCAAATTCTACCTTACCATAAATGGAATCAACGTCGGGCTTTTCAAATCGCAGAACTTAGAGTTCATAATTCTGAGATGGTTTCAACGTCAACACTGGTGTCTGTCCGACTTCGGATTTGGCTGAACTAATTCTTCCAATCGCTGATGTAAAAATAAAACTTGAATTTTAAATGTCCCTTTTTTTCGAGCAAATTTTGATTCTGTAATTGAGGAATCATTTTCATGTAATGGCCTGTTTTGCAGAGGTTGAACGAAAATGTTGCTTTATGAGGTCCTGAGTGTCCTTGGGACAAACGTAGTTCATCTGCTGAGCTAAAAGCCTTTTTCGCATTATAATATTCGAAATTCTAAGCATTGCTAAAAAAATAGAAAAAAAAATTGGTCTTTTCCACAATAGTTTAGACTTCAGAGTTCAACAATACTCCAGAAAAGCTGACTGTGCTGGGAATATACTTCCCAGGAATCTGAACTTGAACCGTTTTTCTGAATGTGATTGCGTTTCCTAATATTTGATGCTTTTGGTTCTTGTGATGACTGTTGATGTCTGCATAGAAACTCATTTTTTCTAGAAAATCGTTTTCAGAAAAACAAGCAGCGGTCATTTTCCAATGCGAAGTTTTTTCACTCGATTGAGTGAACTCGAGGGACACCTGAAATTCTGAAGGCATTCTCAAGAGAAAGCTATAATGAATTCATGATCCAACTTGTTCTCAGTTCCTCTGAAAATGAAAATTAAAGAACAAATCTTCATGTGGAGCCGAATGCGAGGTATTTTTCATGTAGTCTACGGTTTTGAGATTAATGTTTGATGGTGGCCCAGATCACTGATCGATAGCTGGAAGCTGCCGTTTTAAATTTAAAGTCTGACTCAATCTGATTTTCTTCCGTCTCACGATTTTATCTACAAATGAGGGCTAATTAAAAATTGATATCGTGGTACAACATCTCTTGAATATTTGTATCTTCTAAATCAATGCAAATCGTAAACACTCAGGAAAACGAAGGGCAATAGTAGAAGCGCAGGCGTGAGGGTATTTGTTGTGTTCCTTTTTCGTGTACGTTGTCACTAGGAATCGAGGAAGTTTTTCGTTATGTTTTGATGTTTTCCGGGGTGATGGATGTGATGAGTAATAATCATTGTGAAAGCCACAAAAACGAATTGCCATGCGGAGGAATGAGTTACTTCCGACCCGCTTAAAAGTTGACGTAGTCCTTTCTGTGAAAGGATGAGCCGATGTCGGGATTTTTGTCGGATGTGTCTAGCATCTGTTCGGGATTCAGAGCGGGTTCGAAGGGTTCCATGTTTTATTTTTATACGACGGAGAAAGCTACGTGAATGTTATCAGTGTGCTTGTTGGAAATATCGTTGTTAAATGTTATATGCCGTTTTCAAAGCTGTCGTGTTCATCTTTGGTTTTCCGTTTTAGCCGCGGATCGTCATGGTTTTTTATGTAGCTGTTCTCGGATGCAATGTTGGACTGTTGTCTAAGCCTAAATATGACGCATTATCATGCAAGATTCGATGTCGGCGTTCTCAGGCTATGTTAGTGTTCTTTTCGATTATTTTTTGCCTGCTGGCTATGGTTGGTTTCGGTTCTAGGTGGAAAGGAAAAGACGACTTCAGTGCAATCGAAACTATTGATCGTTTGTGTTCTGGCTGAGTTGAAAATTTGAAGAAATTTGATTCGTGGTAAAATATTCGTTTTCACTCGAAGGCGTTAATTACATTGAGTTCAAGTCATTCAATCTCCAGGTTTTTTTTTTTCGCAGGACGTTTGTTCCGTGCTCTTTTCGCGCGCTTGAGTGAGTTCATCATGCCGCCGAAGATCGATCCAACTGAAGTAAAAATCGGTGCGTATTTTCGGCATGATTTAATTACGGTATTTTTAATGTAATTATTTTGTTATTTTTAGTGTACCTTCGAGCTACCGGAGGCGAAGTTGGTGCCACGGCAACGTTAGCCCCGAAAATCGGTCCCTTGGGTCTGGTGAGTCCTGGGAATCGTCACAGCAATTCAACATTTGATTTGACATCGAGAATTGATATTTTCTTACAGTCGCCGAAGAAGGTTGGTGAAGATATTGCGAAGGCAACCCAGGAATGGAAGGGTCTCCGCATCACGGTGAAGTTGACGATTCAGAATCGTCAAGCAGCAGTTTCAATTGTACCGTCAGCGTCTTCTTTAATCTTGCGAGCTTTGAAAGAGCCGCCAAGGGACAGGAAGAAGGTCAAGAACAGTAAGTTGCTTTCGTGTAAAATGAAATTGCCATTTTGAGTTTTTATTCTTTCTGTGAATGTTTATTTTTATTCAGTTAAGCACAGTGGCAACTTGAATCTTGATGACATCATTGCGATTGCCCGAGAAATGCGGTCCCGGAGCATGGCGCGCAAGTTATCTGGAACTTGCAAGGAAATTCTAGGCACTTGTCAGGTAATCTATCTGCCTTTTTTCCCAGGATTAACTGGTTTCATTTTGGCGCTAACAATTTTTTTATTCATTTATCTCGCAGTCTGTGGGATGCACCATCGAAGGGAAGCCGCCTCATGACGTGATCGATGAGATCAACGCTGGTGAACTCGACATCCCAGAAGAATGAGTTACGCGGATGTTTGTTCAGAGTTGGAAGATGAAGTTTCCGTCGCGTTGAACACACGTCTCGTTTATGATTCATTTGCTAGACATTTTACATCATTATTTACCCGTGACCTGTCATTAATTGCAACGGTTTTTCTCCTCTGGTGTTTGTAGAATTCTTATTAATTGAATCGTCTTCTGTTGTCTTGGAGTTCGATTCAAGATGGTTCTGGTGAGTCTTTTTTGAGCATGAGTGATTGAGGAAATATATTTCAAGTTGAGGTTGTTTTTTTTTTTCAGGCAAAAGCTCCCGCTCCGAAACCTAAGCGACACGTAACGAAGAAAGGTGCAAAGGGTAAGAAACAGAAGGTTTCGCTCAAGTTCTTCATTGACTGCTCGCATCCAGTTGAAGATGGGATCATGAACGCCGGTGATTTTGTAAGTATCTCAGCAGCAGAAGACTTGTCTTACGATATTTTCGTTCCGTGATTTCGAAGTTACCGTTCCCAGTTTACTTGAAAATCTTTTTTACAAGCACTGAATGAACCGGTGGAAAACTAGGCCAAGGCTCATCCTTAAAGTTGATTTAATCTAGAGAGATGAAGTACGCAGAATACCGATAATCTCAATGACGCGAGTAACCTAATCTAACCTAAACTTATGAGCCCGGCAGTTGCAGGGTTCTCTTCTTCGTCCATTTGCTAGTCTAATTATAAATTGTGGGTACAAGCACAACTCATGTTTGCTTCAAATTTCACTTGATTTCTGCTCCCCTTGTGGATTTTGTTTTAACTGGTAATATATTTTGTTGCAGGAAAAATATCTCACCGAACGAGTCAAGATCGCGGGGAAAACGGGTAACTTGAGCAACAACCTCGTCATTGAGCGCAACAAGAGCAAGCTCACTTTCAACGCCAATGTTCAGTTCTCCAAGCGGTACCTGAAGTACCTCACCAAGAAATATTTAAAGAAAAATAATCTTAGGGACTGGCTTCGCGTGATCGCGAGTGGCAAGGATTCCTACGAGCTGCGTTACTTCCAGGTATGTTATGCGCCTGAATTTTGTGGAATTCTTGGTTGTAATTATTAATTTATTTTTCAGATCGATAACGAGGCCGAAGATGATGACGAAGATCAAGAGTAAATGTCGCGATGGCGGTGAAGACAATAAAGTGGTTTTCGCATCGGAAAAAACTCTTTTGAAATTATTTTATTCAATAGAATCGCTCCTTGAAGTGCTTAAATAGATTTGTGATTCTCAGGGGTTTACCTTGCGTGCGACGCTCGCGTGTTCTTGTGTCCCCAGCTATGGCAAACAATACGTACCAACCCCCGCAATATGCTGGGAAACCGCCACAAGGCCTTCATCTCGACGTTCTCAAGGGAGACAAGTTGATACAAAAATTGATGATCGATGAGAAAAAGTGTTACTTTTTCGGGAGGAACCCGATCATGTGCGATTTTGTGATTGACCACCAGTCTTGTTCGCGTGTTCATGCAGCGCTGTGGTGGCACAAGCATTTGGACCGTGCCTTTCTCATTGACCTCGGAAGCACTCATGGAACTCACATTGGGAACATGAGACTTGATAGTAATAAGCCGACGCCTCTCCCGATTGACAGCTTGTTTCACTTCGGGGCTTCCACGAGGTGAGAATTTTTATGGATCATTTTTCAAGGTCTCGTGTGATTTTTTTTTTCAAGTCTAGACGAAAAGTTGAACGCCCCAAGTTTTCCGACTTTTTTTTATTTTTAGGTTGAATGATGGCTTCATCTGTTCATACCAAGGGATAAAAATTCTTAGGTTTATGATGGTAATACCACTGATCTGTCATGTTTCGAAATGACTAAGTCCACGAATGCGAATACAGTATTCCATGATTGCATATCAAAAGAGCAAGTAATTTATCGAAATGTTGTCTTTAACTTCGCGTTGTGATGCCTCCTTTGTAATACTCTCCGGAGAAAGCTTATTTAATGGCTGCTTGGATTTTGCGTTTGCCCTTTCGAAACTGAATTTTTCCTTTGCTTTGATAAATCCCGAAATAAACTAAGATTTTTCAAGCGAGTAGCGCAACAAAATTTCCAGAATTGCGGAAAACCTGTTGAAAATCCTGGACAGTCCTTTTTTCAATAACGCTTATTGAATATATCATTAAGGAAAATCCTCAAATCGAAGAAATGAGAGAGTGTAGTGATAAGGACTCGAGTGTTAACCTACGGATCATAATTATTCGTCGGTGATATTCGTAGTGATTTCACAAGATCCGTGGTTGTTTTCTTGCTTTGCAGAAAGTATATAATTCGCGAACGCCCTCAAACAGGACAGAAGCCAATCATGGAAGAACTGGAACAATCGGAACACGCGGAACTTCTCGGCTTGCCAGAAACTGAAATGGAGTTGGATAACTTGACGGAGTTCAACACCGCACACAACAGGCGACTAGCGATGCTTGGCCTGGATGAAATCGAACCTAAGGTACGATTTTCTTTTTTTGTAAAAAAAAAAAAAAAAAGTAATGTACGATAGAGTACATGAAAACGGCACGTTGAATGAAGATTGAACGGGCATTCGGTTCAAAAAGGTTCGCTGATTTCTTCAGCAGTTGCATTAGAATCACGAAATCACAAGGAGCTTAATTTTCTTGAGAGGGGATATTTGCGGCAGGTTTTTCTCCTACGCAGGAATTAGCGGGGCTGAATCCCATGGGTACTGATGACACCCTAGCTAGTTTCCATCTCGCAGACCAACTTCCCACAGCGATTTCCTGACCGAGTGGTCGATTTTGATTATTCGACGGCACCCTTGCTACCACAGCATTGTTTCGGACTAAATCCCTAGCACGACATTGTGGTTCATGTGTGACTGCGTGATGTCCTCCCGCGTCTCTCGGTGGTAGTACGAAATTCCTTCGAATACGTAGCAAATGAAATTGAGAATCTGGGACCTGCGGTTGTATAGGCATTGTATGCACGGAACGGGGTGTTCCAAAGGGATTTCCTCGTTGTACTTGAAAGGCGTATGATGCTTCTAAGTCCACGTCGTTTCTGTTGAAAATTTGTTCTGCGTTGATTACACGATTTTCACGCGAGCGTTTCAGACGTCATCTATCTTGAATAGGTCTTGATGCTACATTTTAGAGCATCCTTGCTTTGCTATGACTATGAATGTTATGACATGGGCTCATTTCGAAAGGAGAAAGAAGAAAACATGTACAGTACTGTACAGTGAAACCTGAATAAGCCGCCACCATTTGTTTTGTGAAATTTTTGGCGGTTTAACGGGTTTGATGGTTTATCGAAAAACTAAAATACGGTTATGTTAAAATCGAGTATGAGAGCAAATTAAATTCTTATTTTTCTAGACAACGGTCAAATTAACCGTGGGATGCGTAAATTTTATCCAGCTAATGTTCCAAGAAGTAGATTATGTCATTTTTTTTTTCAATTGGAGACCTCTCACAGAAACTTTGATCTTGTTGGCAGGTTATCAAAGATATAACATTAATTGGCACGAGCATATTTTACTGTAGTTGTCAACAATTACGACAGATGGCGTTTTAACGGGGTTTCCGATGCTTTTATAGGGAATATATGTTCTGCATTGGCGGTTGCCGAGGGTGGCGTCTTAACCGAGTTTGATCGTACTGTTCAGTTTTTGGTGGTTTTGTCATAATGGGGTCAACTTGTCCTGATGGTGAAGTAGTGTTCAATGTGAACTGTAAATTATTTTAATGAAAGCGCATTCTGGATCACTGGCTGAGTTATTTAAAGCTATATGTTGATCTAATGCGCCTCGGGATTTACAAGTTGGATTTAGAAAACAGCTTTTCGTACATTCGCGGAAATCCTGAGTTAACTTGAGGAGTTGAGGTATTGAAATACAAAAACCTTTCGGCACGCTCATCACGAGGTTCTGGGGCAATTGAGGAATTCCGGTTCCCAGGTGCGAATGGGTCTTGATTGCAATCACAGGTCACAATCCGAGATCTTCTCCCTCTCATATTCCTCGTGGACAGTTTTCCTGGCAAATTGTCCCAATTTTGTGGAGGACATTCAATCGGCTCATGTCCACTGTCAATTGACTGGGAACAAAGAGGCCCATGACAGTTCGGTTCGGATGTAGCATCTGAACTTCCGGTGTTTCGGGCCCAATGTCTTACCACGGGTTCGAAATCGCCACATGGGTTAGGGCAGGATGGGGCTTTTGGAACCCGGATGTAGTCGACCGTGTGACGTTTGATGACTGTCCAGCAGTTGTCGCTGTCGCTGTTTCTGGGCTTCGAGCACCAGGATATGAATGCTTTGATCAAGTAGAGGAAGCATACCAGTAGTTTTGTGATGATGAACCATAACGCCAATGCGACGAGCACGCAAGCCACTGTTTGAGGCTTCAGCAGTTCCGTCATGCAGTAACAAGACTGGAATACGAGGCAGGAAACGTTTTGAATGCGAGACATTTGGCGTGAGTTTGCGATCGCATTTTTGTTCTTGTCCGGAATAATATTCAAGATTGTGAGGAACAATTATGAAATTACAGTAATCATTTTATTTATTGCCCCTTTCGCATAGGGCCAAACATTTCAGCGAATCAAATCTTCCCCCATCAAGTTTTCAAAGGAAAGCATGATTTAGTGCCAACTCATTAGTACCACAAAGGATTTCTCGTCATATATGAAAAATGGGCCAAATCAAAGAAATGAATGCCTTTTGTTATTTCCAAAAACCGAATGCCCCATGAGCAATTTGTCTGTACTCACAAAGAAATCCAAGGAAATTTTGAAAATTCTCGATTTTGAATTTACATTCTTGGAAATATACAGTACATTATTTTTTGTATGTGCGTGTGAAAACCAAATGTTTTCTCACATTCCCTGCGAGTCCGAAGCCCAAGATTTTACTTTTTGTTGAATAGATGTCGCGCTGCTGGGACATGGCGTTCTAATAATAGACCCCATAATAAAAGTTTAACCTTTGTCTGATTGAATGGAAACGTTGAACATCGAAGGGGTCAAAGTTTGATTTCAATGTAATGATTTACATCGCTGCTGGTGGATCCATTTCCCACATCCAAGCACGTTCCTGGACATGGAGTGCAACTACTGCTTGCTCCCTGGGCTTGGTAAGTTGCTGATGGACATGGCAGGCATTCCTGTGTTCCTCCGGCGCTGAAACTTCCCGGATTGCAAGCCGCTGAAATTTTGCAAATGGAAAAAGATATCGAATTTTTTCGCAATACAGTACAATATTTACCACATTGCCCTCCGCTCCATTCAAACCCAGGGGGACAAGTCAACACGATTTCGTTTTTAAGGAACATTTCTCTGCCTGAAGAGCTTCTCTGCTTCAGCCGACGCCCAGCTATCTTGAGGAAACAAATTTGCGCAATTGAAGCACCTGAATATTACGGAAATGTAATTTTCAAACCTTCGCGAACACGACAGTGGTTTCAGGGCTTTGGTCTTGGACCCTCGGCACAACTGTGGCTTCGATTTTTAATTTTGGGGCTCGTCCTAGATTCCGACAAAGCAGGCGTACGTCTGATACGTCGCAGTCTTGAATCCGAGGAATGTTTCTCATGCAAAATGATCGGAAATGTGATATGGTGTTCATGACTGCTTTTTCAATTTGCGTCGATGTATTTGGACACGGTTTTCTTGAGCCTAGGACGAAGTGAACTCCTCTTGTGGGCGGAATGTGAACTTCGAAAAGGATGACAATTTAGATTCGCTAGCAATTTCTCGTTCAATTGAGGTATGGTACATCGTATACGAGCCTAGTCCCGGTTGGACACAACCTCTGATATTTTAGAGTATTGTACAGTGCGATTGAAAAAATGATCATGACATAGCCTACGATTTTCTAGAGTTCTGAGCTTTTTTTGGATTTTTAAAAAGGTTTTTCAATTTAAAGCATGATTTCAAAATCCAATTGCAGCCTTTGCAGGTAGAGTTCTCCACCCATGTCACAGGATGCTAAAAGTTTGTTATGTTGTTGTTTGTTAAGAATTTTTGTTGTTTCTACTAGTATATAAAATTTAGAAAAGATGATGCATTAAACAAAACAAAATTTTGAATCTTTACCTGACTTGAATCATTTTTAGCTCCCTGTGACATAGGTAGAGAACTCTGGTTGCGAATGGAAAGTTTCCAGTCATCATGCAGTAAATTTGAGAACTTTTTTAAATCTTGAAAAAATCCCGGAACCTTAGAAAATTATGGGCCATGTCATGATCTTTCTTCGACGATCAGATTTACTCTATAAATAGCAAGAGGTCGCCTCCGATCGGGACTACCTTCGTATCTTGATCGATCGGTTTTTATTCTCTTTTATTGCTATACTAATTTCATACAATTTTTGGGGAAGTAAAAAGAAAAAGAATTGCACTGACCGCGAAGGTTTTTGACAAACTCCATTGTGGTTTTATCTTTTTTGACTTGACACACATATGAACCTGTGTCTTCCGGTTGAAGTTCGAAAATGTACAAGACCCCGTTCTGTCCGATCTTTTGAAGGAAATAATTTAAATTGTTCACCAATTCAAGAAAGTAGGAAGTTTCCTTACCTTGAACCTTCCTCCGGTGAGCGGTTTTCCATTTCGATGAGTCCAATTGAACTGGTCCCAGTCTTCGTAAATCTCCTTTTGGTATATCGGAATGCAGTGAAGTTCGATGGAGTCGCCTTTCTTCGCAGAAATCGTCTCTCGTCCGAGATCTGATTCAAAAGCGAAAGTCCACGAACGTTTTGCAAAGAGAGGAAGTTGACGATTCTTACCTGTTGTCATTCCTTGATAGTCTTGAAATCATTGCCCAATCGTCGTTCAAGAAGTGAAGAAAAACTATTGGAAGTTTCGAAATGCAAGAACGATTACAGCATCGTGAAGATTAATCATCGAATGAAAAAGTGCTTGTGTCGGAAAAAAATATGAAGCTTTTTTGAATTTACCGGATTTCGATGCATTACCAAGAAAACCCTTGAGAAGGAACTTTGATTGTGATTCGGTTGTTGAATACATTTTCCTGTGCTTCGTTCCTCAGGTGAAAGGTCCGAAGAAGCGAAAACCGGGTGGAGTGACGTTTAATGAGGAGGAGCAGGTGATAAATCCAGAAGATGTTGACCCATCCATCGGGAGATTTAGGAATTTGGTTCAGTCCACTGTTGTGCCTGTGAAACGAACAAAGACGAATTCGAACCCTGAAGGATTCATGGACACTTCGAGTTCACCCCCATCAGCCAGCATGCATCGCCAGCAGGTTTGTTTCAAGAACCGAATTTGAGTTTTGGTTTGTGAGTTTTTGTCAGTAACTGAGAATAATTGAATGAAGCACCTTAATTTTAAAAAAAAAACTGTGCATAAGTGCTGCAAACTTATTTTTACTGCTTCTAAATATTCTCTCGAATCTTTTATTTTTCCTTTTTACATTTAGGGTTTCCTGTCATCTGCAGCCAGTTTGTATTCAGACTTGCCAGCCGAGCAAAATTCAACTCCATCCACGTTTGGGTTGTTCTCGTCGAGCTTGGGCTCGAAATTGGGCATTTCTTTGCCGAACCCTGCACCGGATGTGGACATGGAAGTTGCCCAGCCGAAGGTGCAAACCACTTTCGCACCCAAAGACTTCCATCCCGCTGACATGGAAGACTTGGGTCCCAAAAAGAAGAAATACGCCAAGGAGGCCTGGCCCGGGAGAAAACCCCTGAGTGCACCGGCTCCTGTCTGAGGATATTCAAAAAAATGATACTGCCTAATTTTTTTCACGATTTATTTTTTGCTCCCGTGTGTGTATCAATCGTCGGGATTGATTAAAGATGAGAGTGGAGTGCATTGCTTTACTCTTTCTTGCGACGATACGTTGCTTAAAGGTGAAGATTTGTCTATGATTGGCTCTCGTTTGTTGGCGTGCGTGCAAAAATCTCTCGATTGCGGATTCCACGATTCTTGCAATAATATTTATCGTTGCCCTTCTGAGTTTTGTTTACGTATTCTTTTTCGTGTCTTGGAGAGGAACATTTTTCTCTGTCTGTGTGTGAATTTGTATGGAACGTTATTCTTTTGACGCAGATATTGTGAGAAAGAGCCTTGGCTTCCGGAATGGACGACGACAGGGAGTTGGAGGCCATTAAGGCTCGGGTGAGTTTATCCGGACATTGAGGAGGATCGTAATTTACAGTATTCAAATATCCGTTTAAAATGCGCATCTTGATTTTTGTGAATAAATTCGGCTAAGAAATACCGGAAGAACCCGTATAACTCGTAATTTATTAATACGCGTCATATGCCTGAATAATCCTGGTTCTGCTATTTTTCAATTGTGCGTCAACTATTTCACGCGTTGGGAAAAAAAATTATGCATGCCCAATTTAAGCAAAAGAAGTTCTGGTCATCGTACACTTATCCGAAGCCGTATTCATTTCCTATTGATGCTTGGAGTTCGACTTAATTTCGAAAACCTCTGAATTATTATATTTTTTTATAAGAAAGTGAGTCATGAAGAAGAACGATCTGTACCCTTATCGAAAATTTTACTCCTAAACCATGTTGTTTATTGAAATTGAAAACTTTAAAAAATATATAATTTTGTATCTTCTGTTTTTTGAAGTTTTCTCGAAGAAAAACTGCAGAAAATATAAAATTATATTTGTTGAATAAAATAAATTTAATTAATAGGATTTCTTCTTGGTTGAGTGGAAGCAATTTCGGAAAGCTCTGATCTATTTTTGTAAGAATTGAGTCGTGAAGAAAAACGTTTTGTACCTGTATCAAAAATTTCTATCCTAAACTCTGTTGTCTGTTGAAATTTTAAACTTCAAAAAAATATAGCAGATATATCTATTTTTTTTCAAGTTTATTTCAAAGAAAACTTATCGATAATATATTTTTTTTTCAGAAATTTATTTAATTGATGGAATTTAATTCTGGTTGAGTGAAAGTACGCAGATTCGACCGCAATTATTAATCATATGTTTCCCCGTAGGTGCAAGAGATGGAAGAGGAAGCAGAGAAACTGAAACAACTCCAGAGCGAGGTGGACAAGCAAATGATGCCCAACTCGTCTGCCAGCAGCCCCGGCGCCCCTTCAACATATTTGACGATCGAGCAGAAGGTCGAGGCCGATGCCAGGTCAATCTATGTCGGAAACGTGGACTACAGCTCGACGGCGGAGGAACTCGAGCAGCATTTCCACGGTTGCGGCGGGGTCAACCGCGTCACGATCCTCTGCGACAAGTTCACGGGTCACCCCAAGGGTTTCGCCTATATCGAATTCTCCGACAAGGACTCAGTCGTGACTGCCATGGCGTTGGATGAGTCCTTGTTCCGAGGTAGGCAGATTAAAGTGATGCCGAAAAGAACGAATCAGCCGGGGTTGAGTACGACTAATCGTGGAGGTAGACGCGGGCGTGGCAGGGTGGCGATGTTTGGTGGGTTCGGAAGAGGGGCCATAGGTTTCAGAGGCGGGTTGCGAGGCAGAGCCTTTTTCGGATTCAGAGGAGCCCGCCGTCCGTACTTCTATCCTTATTGATTTATTTTTATTTCTTGGATCGTGTTTCTCACTGTCATGGTCGTCGTCTTTTCCGAGTGCGAGGTTTGGTTGTGTTCCGAGTGGACTTGGATTTTTCATCAGATGAAAGTGGGTTTGAAATCGTTTTCCCTTCTGTGTGAGGGAATAGTTGCACCAGAAGAGGCATTTTAAGCCTAAGGATTTTTCTTCGTGAAACAGTGATCACTAACGTGGGGAAGAGAGTTGATTTGATTTTGCATAGACTTTTTTTTTCAACCTCGATTGAGTGCAGATATTTTAATTTTTCGTTGCTCCGAACAATTCTTAAACATTCTCGACTTTGTCACGAAGAGTACGAATGAATAGCTGTCGTTTTTGCTCCTGAACGACAAATTTATTTAAATTCAAGATGCCCTAGGTCTGATTATTGATACTGTACTTGCTATTTTGTGCACTTGATTTTTTTCTATTTACTTATGCACTTGATGTTTTGAGACTCGCTCTTTAAATGTGGGAATCCCTGTTTTTAAAAATGATTTACGCGGAACTGAATCAGCCTTCTCGAAACTCGAGATTCTCCACGCTCTTCATCTTAAAAGAAAATATTTGGACGAGTTTTTTGTTTTCCTGAAATATTCCTTGATACGTTCTGAACCCACTGACAAATTGAGAAAATTGTAAGCCCACTTGGAGTCAAATGAACCGATTAACGTCTTGGAATTCCAGTAATTGGGATTGTCGAAAATTTGTCAACTTTCTCTGGAGCTTGGTGTGGCGTTTCGGGGGAGGAATGAACTTATGGATTTCTAACCGCAGCAAAAAAATGCAATCGAGAAATCTGTCGTCGAGAGAATAATCATTGGTATCTGATGGATGAAGTCTTCACAGGAAGCAGTACATTACAGTAATGTTGATTATCAATGCTTTAAGAGTTTGAAGAGGAGCGTTAAAAAGTCTTCGGATTCGAGAAGCTTCTCGAAAGCTTCCGGCAGCTCAACTCTTGCTTTGTGGAAATGTGAATGGGATTTTTTTTTAAGGATTTTCTAGTGATCAAGAATACTTCGCTTGATCAGAAAATCATGAGATCTGCACGCTGTTCGTTATTTAAGTTGTTTGGAACAAAAATGTTTTTCGAGGTGGAAATTAATTCTTGATGGGAATAAATCTAGAAATTAATTTCCGATTTTTGGAGCAGTCTTGGGGAAAATTGTTTTCATTTTTTGTGTATTTCACGTGAGTTGTTTGGATCTGATGGCAAAATCGGTATGAACGAACAGTCGCGTTCGTCGCTGCACTTTCTCGCAATGTTTGCCAAAAAAAACTGAAAACTTTGATGTGAATTTCGCGAGTAGGCGCGTTTGTGAAGCTGGTTGTTGGATTTTATGTTAGTTTAGCATAAGAGGGATGTTGTATTTCGCGTTTATTTCGCTGTTGAACATGTTGTATTTCGTTTCCTGTTTGGCGTTTCGAGTTCGTGACGAGGCGTTGGAGGGGAGGGGGGAATCCCGTGAGACGGAACGGATTTCGTTGTGATGGATGTGCAAGTCAGCCAGTAACCGTCGCTCATTTTCTTGTCGCATTGGCAAACACATTTTATCGGATGGAGGGCAGTGTAAAAAAAAATTATGATCTTCTGTGACGCTTTATTCAATGAAACCGTTCGTTTTTTGTTCAAATTATTTTTTTCGGGTATGGTTTGAACTTCTTTTCTTGAAATTTGATCTTCTGGGTGTTGTTTTCCATCAATGATTTCCTCTTACCCTGAATCTTTTGGTGTCTTTTTCAAACTTCGAAACGCATTCATCAGGGAAATGTCGTATTAAGATTATTAAGGCGCTTGATTCAGTTTTTACTTTTGATCCACTGTTGAGACGATTTTCTAATTTATGGGAGTTGTCTTCGGGTGAAATTCCTTCTTGCTTTCTGCACTCGGAAGATCAGATGTTTTGACTACTTCAGTGGTTCAAAAAAATTGTAATGTGATGCTGATTTCATCGTTTCAGGATTTTTGGTGACATTTTGATACGTTTTGATTTGTTCAACCGTCGTGTGAGCAAGCTGCAGCATGGACAGATCCAGGCTGATGAAATCTCTTCAGATGGTTGGGGAAGTGTCGCAAGGACAGTATGTACCAGGTGTGTATAAAATTTACATTTTTTGCGCCCGATTGGAAAAACAAATTTCGGAGAGGGATTCATCAGACATAGCTAAATATGTTATGACCTACAATTCCGACATTCGTAATACCAGATTAAAGTGAGGAAAATAAGTCAAGTTAAATTCAACACCGCGAATACGATGTTTTAAATTACAGTAATTCCACAGACTAGAGCAGTGTTGCTCAACTCAGGTTTTGCCAAGGGCTGCTTTAATAAATTTTTTGTGGCCGAATGCCACATTTTAGGAGTGGAGAGTCCTTCGACGGCCAGAGTAGATAATACATTTTGAGGTTGCAAATTTTCACCTTTTCAAATGATGAATTTCAAATTTTATTCATTGCTATGCGTTGAATCACAAGCATGGTCTGATATAATCTTTGAAAGGCTGGAGCAACATTTTGAATTTAAATTTGTTCTAGTATATATAAATTGAGTAGGGATGGTTTCCACTTCGACAATTTTGGGGAAGGGACTGCTGGATTGATGAAGACTCTCTTCGGGCCAGATCTGGCCCACGGGTCAAATATTGGAAATGGAGCCTGAAGAATGCAGTCTGACCTTCCGCAGGTTTCCGCGTCGTATCTTCCGAGACATCTGCCTATTATCGAATGAATAATGAGTCTGCGAAATCCAAACTTTCTCCGGTTTTTCTTCCTTGTGGTCGGCGTTTTGCCGGTTATCTTTTACTCTCTCACTGTGACGGGTTTTTCATTGTACACGTTTTGCCTACTCGTTGTCTACGTGTCGTGGCGGCGTTTGGAACATAAAGATGGGGCCAGGACTGGGGTGGAGCCAGGTTCACCCAGTGAATTCTGCGTTGGAAAATGTTATATCCGATGATTCGGTTAAAATGATTCATGAATCGAGTGGAAAAAGGTGTGTTAATTGATCTGATGGAATCGCTGCCGGCGTTGATCTGGGTTCACTTCATTGATTTATGTTTTGAAAATTGAAATCCTTTCAAATTGAGAGGGGTCTGACAAAAAGTTATCGGGATAGAAATTGAAACGTCATTTAATAGAGTAGAGCTGAAAAACAATCGTTCTAAAAAACTTCTTGTGGCACAGGAAAAAAATTTAGCCCTGTTCAACGTATTTTTTGTAATTTTTTGCAAGTCACGCTGGCTTTCCGCTCTTTACTCAAAAGATGAGGCAATGCAATTTTTTTGTGTAGCCCAGCTTCTTCAAATTTTTTGAAATCGATATGGCATTAATGCCAAGGGTTGCCTCCTGGTGATTCCGCTGTTTTCATGAAAAGGCGCCACATTCTCATCCCAACTGGCGGCTGTGAATAAAATGGCAGAATTAATAATTATTTAATGGCGGTAATCCTTGGAATTTTTTCCATGGCACTTTCAAGAATTTAGCGACTTTTGCAAGAGAAATTCTGAAAAAGTTCGAACAGGACTGAATTTTTCTCTTCTATCAACGAATGCTTTTTCTGAGCAATAATTGGTTTTCAGCTCATCCATCATATGCAATTTTAAAAGGTATTCCAAAAATATTTTCAGAACCTTCGTATATTTGTTTAAGTTCAATTTTTTCGACGTTTTTTAATTCAGTATGTCCTTGAAGCGACTTACTGGAAAAAGTTGAAAGATTTTAGCCTGCTTGAAATCTTCGATGAAAAAAAAATTACGTAGATTTATGTTCACGCTGCCCATGAAAAACTTGTTGTGGCAGCAAAAATTTTAAATTTGTTGTTTCAAATCCGAAAATAATTTCCGATTGATCAGCGAACATTCTGGAAGCAGGAAAAATGAGTAAGCAAAAGCAAGAAAACTTGTGGTGAATTTATAGTTGAAATGAAATTCAGTTGTGATGATCAGTGACATCTTCACATATTGAAAATTTTCTCAGCTTTGGTGAACGAATTAGAGAACTTCATTGACTTATTCGAAAGCCATGTTATCCCTTGAACTTAGAATTCTTTCTACGCCCAAGATTTCAAGTTCGCTAATATTTTCGGGTGCATCATTCGTGATTTTTTTTTGAAAGATTTCAGATTACTGTGGAAATTTACACTTTCAGAGCCGTTGTAACTAAATCCTTCGTTGTGTATTTTTGTCTTCCTGATTTTATTGTTTTTTACGGAACAAATATTATGCCTGATCGAAAGAGAATTTACTGTGCACAAGCTGAATTTGGGATGATCAAAAATTCAAAGTACTGATTTGATTTAATTCGCCCCAAATCCTTGGAATTGTGATCAAATCGGGTGGTGATTCGTTTTCCCCCTTAAAATTTGACTGCGATTCGCTGCCAATTCTTGTTCGGTTAAAATCGGTGATTTACGAGAAGGGAGGCGGAATTTCATCGACTCAGTGGGCAGTGAAGTCGTAATCTTTCTCGCTGTCTCGAATGAACCTCGTGTACCCCGATCATTAGGTGTATCCCTAGTTCGCACGAAAAGTTCCCCGTGACTTATCGTTGCTCTATGAACCTCGACGAAGACGAAACCCCCTTTTCCGCAACCGATCGGTTCATGTCCGAGTCGGAGCGTCAGTTGATGGAGGAAATACGAAAGAGAAGCAAATATTGTCGATGTTTTCTACCTTCGGACATGACATGGGGAAAAGCTCATTGTTGCGGATGTCGACTCCTGGCGACGAATCAGAGTTGTTGCCTTCCTTCGGCCATGTCGAAGATGGCGCAAACGCTGTCTGTTGACCGTTGGTGGACGCCACCGTGTTGTCCACCGAATTCGCCGCCCAAGCCGACCACGTGTCCGCCTTTGCCTCCTGTTGGTGCCCCGGAGGAAACATCGTCGTGTTGTCCGAAACCGTGTCCACCGAAGCCTAAATCTTGTCCACCGAAGCCGAAACCGTGTCCTCCGAAGCCTTGTCCTCCGAAACCGTGTCCTCCGAAACCGTGTCCTGAGGTTAGACTTCACAGGTGGACTCTCGCTCTCTCCCTGTTTCCACAACGATTTTTATCTGTATAACGAACTTTCTCTTCTCTTGTTATGTACAGGGTAGGCCAAAGAAAGTGAATCGATTCCTGATTTAAAATAGCTCAGTAGCAAATTGAGCGTCTGAAATAAAAAAAAACATCAAATGAAAGCTTGTTGAATTCCATTTCAAATGGTATTACTGTAGTTTTATGGTCTCAAGTGCAACGGACATGGGATTCTCTGTAATGAATATCAGTAGAAAAATGTCTACGGATATCACTAGTTACTATTGAGAGAAATTTGTGGCAGTAAATCGAGGGTTAACTTATTTTTTTTACTCTGGGGTCTGTGGTTCTCATCTTTTTTAATTTTTCGGGCTCGTCCAGAAAAAGAAGAAAAAATGTTGTCCCCCGTGTGTCAAACCGTGTCCGGACGAGGATCGTCCGAAACCCACGACGGAATTGTGTCCGTTACCACGTCCGTTTCCTCCGGAAATCCCAGAGGACAAGGCTCCTTGTCCGTGTCCCGAGCCGGAACCGGAACCATGTCCTCGTCCCAAACCGAAACCGTGTCCAGCAGAAAAGGAACCCGAGCCGCCGTGTCCCCCGATAGAACCACCTTGTCCCAAGAAGAAGAAGCGAAAGACTTGTCCTCTGGAGGCTAACAAAACTTCTGATATGGATAGTCCGTTGGACACGAAGACCGACGATCAAAAGAATGCTTTGGTTGCTGAGGAGAAAAAATCGGAATTGCAGAGAGGTAGGAAAATTGTCAAAATTTTACTCGGATGTGCCGATGAGAAAGGAACAGTCGAGCAATTCTTCTCTGCAAAAACCGAAGGGATGAAAAAAACAAAGAAAGAGATTTTGTCTTTTTGAAAGCAGGCGAAAACGCTGCTCGTGGTTCTAGCCCGGTGAACGCGAAGAAGGTTGAACAAAAGGATGCTCCTGATGCGAAGCAGGAAAGGAAATCCAGTTTCAATAAAGGTACAAAAATATTGCTTATATCCCGGAAGTCCCAGTTGCCAAAAAAAGAAAAGCGCACGAAGTGGCCAATTATCGATACAGTTGGGCCCCGAAGTACGGACTACTCGACTTAGGGACACTTGAAGCTAAAAACAGAGCATGCCCCAACATCTGGGGAACGGTGCAAGACAGAATATTTCGCGAACATTTCTAGAAAAATTCAGAAAATTTTTTAAAATTTTAAATCTGTTGAAAAACATTGATCTGCTGTATTTGTTGTACAGTGCGTAAATACCATGCGAATATTTTTTCTTTAATTCAAGAGGAAAAGGGGGATTGGGTCATAGGTGGGCATACATTTTTCAAAAGGTTTTATAAAATTAGATGTGCATTATTTTTTATTCTAATGGGAAATTTGGGACAAAGTTTCCTGGAAAAAATGTATTTCAACGAAAACGATTAAGAAGTATTTAAATTATGTTTTAATCCATGTCTAAATTCTCATGTTGTTCTTATCTTTAAAATATTGTAGTTTCTAATTCACCAAAATAGGGTGCACGTCTTAATGAGGGATATAATTTTATCAAAATGTTCTACTGGTAAACCCTGGCGCGTGTCTTACTCAAGGATGCGGGGAGTTGAATACAGTATTTATGCCTATACTGTATTTCCAATAATATAATGAAAGTTTATTAAAAATTCACCCTGAATAATAATCCAAAACCAGCGGATTTTTTGAAATTTTCGTTATTTCCATCATATGTGCCCAGTATAGCAAGACTTCTGCTTTTTCGTAACTTTTTGGACCAAATTGCCTGCCGAAATATCAGGTTTTGCGTGGTTTTCTTCTCCACAGGTATTTCTGTATCTTTAAATTGAACTAATTTTTTTAAGGACTTCTTCTAATTTTTTATGAAATATGGACGAGGTCCAAGCACCAGTGATGTCCGCATCTCGGGGCCCCGCCAATTCAACTCGGTATAACCAAACCGGAACTGAAACATTGGAACTTTCTGTTATGATGCTAATTTTTCAATGGCGTATCACTCGAGAGAACAGGATTAGCATTAAAATTCAGCGTTTTTTAAGAGGGCTAACTTTGAATTACTGGATCTATCGATTACGTGAAAAGCATTCGTGCTTATTACCAAGTTTTCTGAAATTTCCTCCTTACACCCGCTGAAAGATGAAATCAAGGAAGATAATTCCTCGCGCCACATCAAGATCGTGACGAAGTCGAAACTCCCAGTTTCCCATATCATTGTTGAGAAGACCCCGTTCAGCGCTGCCGAAGACGAAGAAGAATACTCTGATTGCGAAGCCACTCGTCGTCTTCTCAGCGATAAACTCAAAGAAGTTTCGTTTGAATGCGACGATCCCGACAGCGGGTCACTCGATGACCTAGCTGAAATCACGAGCAAGCGAGGTCGAGACGATGAAAAGGAAGAACAGTTTTCTGACGCGGGGGAACCTTTGCGAATGAATTTCGAGCAGTCGGCGTGTTGTCGCTATTGCGGCAAATTTTATCCGGACCCAGTGACCAAATACCCTTCCCCGGGTTCTTCCAAAACCACGAGTTCGTGCTCTTCTGTCGCGAGTTTGGCTTCGGATTGTTCCGAAAATTCCAAGAATCAGAGGCGGAGAAATAATGTTCATTTATCGCTCTTGATGGACCCGCTGTCTGATCAGACCAACAATCGACGAGATGTTGACGGACTGCAGAATGTAATGTGTTGGCTTTTTTTTCTGTGCGAAAACCAGTTGATTAAACTCTTCGGGTTACAATTGCAGAATGAATCTGAATCGTGTCAGCCCAGGGCATTGAATGATGCGCCTAATTTTGGCGGGAATTTATTCGCCAGTGGGTGGGAACGCAGTCCTGCAAAGCGAACCTGGTTCCAAATGAGCGAAAAATCGGATTTTGTGGATCATGGTGATCCTGTTTTGTCCAGTGGTATGAAATAACGTTCATTTTGCGAGGGGTTTAAGTATTGCGAGTCACAATGAATATTTAATCGTAAGCACATGAAACCCTGTCAATTTTCGAGACTTCCGCTTTAGATGTGCAGTGGTTTTTTTTGTGTGCCGAATTTACATTATTCAGAGCGCGATTTTCGTGAAGGTTACATTTGGAACGATTTAATTTTTTCCGGACATTCGCCAAAATACCATAAACCTTAAAACTGTATTTTTTCGTGTTTTCAGCATTAAATCTTGAATTCGTTAGTGCTTTCTATTAGTAATCTTCTCAAGTTGGTGTCATGAACTTTTTGAATTTCACAAATTTCATAGACAAGAAGAGCTAAACAATGACCTTCTTTTGTCATTTTCCTCAATTTTCCAATTCCAAAGTTTCAGCCAGGATTCCCAGGAACGTATTAAACTTCGTTTCTGAAAGTTCGTTATTTAAAAATTGTTTGCTCCGTAAGTCTATCTTTCTCCTCTCGAAAAATGTTCGCGTGCGGATATTTTTTTTCGCTGGTCTTTCGTTTTTTGGGGAATCACTGTATTGGGATTTCAACGTTGAAGGTTTTATTTTCCTGTCTGTTTTTTGATGAGGGCCCCCTGATTTCGGCTTAATCGCGTCTTGGCTAAATTTCCTGTGTGTAAAATAATTTTCTTCGATAAATATTTAATCGCTGTAAAGGGATGTTCATGTTTCATTCATATATTTTTCGGGGATTCGATTCGCGAGGCTAGGGGAAAACACTCGGTTCTTCTGGAGTTTTTCGAGACTTGTATTTGATTTTTTCCCCCTTCGCTGTTCAAGAGTGTTGTGCAGAAAAGGTTTTGCCAAATCCTGAAGAAAGAAGTTCGATTCCGCTGAAAAGAAAGAGTTCTTTGAGCTTGCAAGTTATCGTGAATCGCCATCAACTACCGGGAAGTGTTCCTGACCTTCTCGTTACTTTTACCTTACCGAGTGAGGGGCAGTTCAAGACGTGATCGACTTGGGGACGTGCGTTTCTTAACTGGATAGCTGACCGAAGTGTGTCGGTGCTGTGCTTTTTTTTCTCGATTACTTCGAAGCAACGTTGCGTCTATTGTCGAATTTTTAGGACAGTTATTCATGTACTGTCCGGCGTTGTTGAGAACTTTCGTACGATTTTAACCCGAGGCTCCTATCAAAGTTTTTTCCCGATGTTCTGTTCTTTTTTCCAAAATTTTTACGCGGCGATTCTTTATTGATTAAAGGGTAACTCAGATCGGCTGCCGATGTTGTGTTTTCGTTCCCTGAAAAAATTTTGATTTTAATCGAACTTCTTGCTGTCGTACAGTATTTTGCGGTGATATTGAAAATTTTTTTTTTAATCGTTTATTGACGGGATTGATCATTTTTTGTATGCCAGAGGATGAAGTCATGTCTCATTTGATGGGGCTTTGTGCACAACTGGGACTTGGATACATTGAAGCAGACATGGCTTCCTGGGGTCTTCCTTTGCTGGCTACGAATGTGAAGGTGTTCGCTGAGCACCTGGAAGCGAAATTTCCAGGTACTGTATTTGGTGTTGATGTTTTTGATTATTTCTAAATCTAATTGTAATTATTTTTCAACAGACGAGATGGACCAGGCTTTTGTAGTCCTCAGAAACGCTTGTTGTGACATGCGTCTTCCGGTAACGAGTAGACTGAAATTCTTGGAGCTTGTGGAACTTCGTGCGAGGAAGTGGAGCCAAGAGGACCGATCGAGAAACTTTTATAGTAGCATGGCCAAGCATTTTCCGGTAATTTGCAGTCTCCTTATATGCCTCTGAGACGCGTTTTCGTCATGATTTTGTTAATTCTGGAGCATGAATTACTGCACTCATGCGAATATGAGATACCGTTTTTCAGGTACTTTGAAGGACTCTCAGAAAATAGGATACATGTTTTTACGTGCTATTAATCAATTGCGATGCATCAGATAACACCTCCCAGATTTTTGAGATAATGGTGCTCTTTTACTTCATTTGCCGAATAGAGCTTAAAACATTTATAGAAGGAAAATGTTCGTCTCTTTTGGCACTTGAATAATTTGGAAAATTGTATTTTTAACGCGTGAAGTGGAATTTTAAAGCTTGTTACAAAATTGATGTCTGCAGTACTTTTATTCTTGGGATTGCGATACAGGATTCTGTTTCTCGAAATAGGAAAGCAAATGATGTACTTTTCTTAAACTTGCATAATACTAGAGATTATTGCAATTCAAGTGCCGAAGATGAAAAATATTTTTCATGTTAATTTAGAGTGACTCCATATCGTGATGCAATCGTGAAAAGCTGTTCATTAAATCTTGTGCTGAAATTTGGAATAAGAAATCTTGTTTTATTCTCAAGAGAATTTTGTGAAAAGTTTTTAATGATAAATTCGTGTTACACTTTTTTCGTTTTTTTTTCTTCTCAAATTCAGAGTTACAGTACTAGATTCATGTCTTGTCCAATATTTCAGGAGGGAGCCAAGGAACAAGAAGCTGGTCTTCCAGCTGCCCAACAAACCTCCGCTTTTCCTGCTCGTTACAGTTTGTCTCATTCTGTATCTGCTCCTCATCTGGCCCCAATGATGCTTGCAGCTGCTGCTGCGGGTTACCAACCGCAGCAAACTCTTGGTAACCTGCACGCAGGATTGCAAACTATTCTGACTTCCTCGCAGTCGACTATTCCCGGCTCTTCAGTTGGTCATTCGAGCTTGAACCATGGGGAAGTCATGAGGGGATCTGGAAAGTATCCTGCTGGACCAACCAAAGTTCCTGGAAAAAATTATTTTAGAGACGAGGTTGTGATTCGAAATGCGGACTCAGGGAAAGGTGCGTGAAGTACTTGCATTCACAATCGTCGGGAGTTGCCATTCTAAATTCTTTATTGTGTCAGTACTTCTAGACGAATGAATCTAAAATTCTTCGAAATTCGTTCCAATATTTCAGTGATGGGGATCAAAGGACGACGAGTTCACATGATCGAGCAAATGAGCGAAACAGTGATTTCTTTTCAGCGTGGTAAGTGCTGATCAGTTGTTTTTTTTTTTCATTATTTCATTCAGTGAAAATGCCTGCATAGATTTTTTACTGTTTTTTTGTTTTGTTTTTGTGTGTGTGAAAAATTGAGGTGCGTGTTTTAATTCAGCGTACTCATGAATAACCCTTCGTTTTGTCTCAGCTGCTCTTGTGCCGTGAGGATGCGTTTTCCCCCTCGTCGTTTGAATTGCTAACCCTGATGGCGAATACTCTTGAGTGAGTGTTGTTGAAGTTGTTACACTTGAACCCTAAAAGTTTTCTTAATATTCCTCTGTGAGAGTTTTCCTTGTTCTAATGTGGATATGAAGAGGGGTTTGGCAAGGCTTAGGTCGTTGGTTCATAAATTTGTGTCACTCTACTGCTTCCCATGTCAGAGTCTTGATATTGAATGGTTGGAAATTACCATAAATGCACACATATATAATCCTTTCTTGTCTTCTCTCCTCAGTGTAGCTCATAAACGTTTAAATATATTTAGAACTTGAGTCCTAATTTTACCCCGTCACTTTCAAAGTTAATATTTACACATCGAACACCGTATGATTTATTCATCTGCTGTTATTCCTAAATATTTCAGATGATTGATGAAATTTTTTGACTATGTCCGAGATTTGTCAATCACGTTAAAATGAAAAGTTGTAACGATCTTGATATTTTTCATTAGTGTTGCTAAATAATTCATTTGTGAGCCAGACATTGGCTGGGTGATTTTTCAGTGGACCGCAGGCCAAGTTTAGAACTTGTGATTAATCTCAGTGGTCTGAAGGATTCTAATCATACAAATATAAGGTCTCTACCATTTTTTTAGGTATTTTGATGACGAAACTTCAATTATATATTTCAGAGCAGTAGGAAATCTTTCTTTTGGAAGTACTGTACATTTTCGCTATATTTTCGTAATTATCGTGATTTCCAGTGGCGCCAGGGACGAAAGACCGGTTGGTTCAGATCACTGGTCCGGCCGAAGGGAACGTCCGGTTAGTATTTTCTTCGTCGTCGATATTTCTATGATAGCAAGTTTTGGCCGAATTTCAGCGTGTTTCTTCTTTGATGTTCTAGTCGAGCCAAGCAATTGATTGAAGAAACAATTTGTCGGAATTCGTCTCCCATGCAATCTGACGAAGAGGCTGATGATGCGGGAGACCTAGAGGACGTGGGTTCCAGTGGTAGTGAAGTGGATATTTTACCAAGAGGTTAATTTCTTTAAAATTAATTTGAGATGAATCAATTGTGATCATCTTGAATAAATTGAATTTGAAATCATCCAATTTTCTGTAAATATCCAAGGTTATACGCGTGCAGGGCGGTCGGAACTATTGTCCTGCGAGGAAGAGATTGATGCTGTCGAATCTGAAGCAAGTTTTAGCGTTACTGTCTTTGAGGGAAGTTCGATATGCTTCAAGATGATAGGACCAAATCTGAGACTTCTCAATGTAAGAATAATTTTCTTTTTATTTTTAAATTCAATTCTGATGACCCTTTTTTGGCCGTAGATGAGTAAATTGGCGCTGGAGGAATTATTTGAGAAGAACCTGGACGATTCGGGATTCAATTGTGACGGATTGGACAACTTTATGGATCGGTTTGTTCTCAAATTATTCAAGGGGTTCATAAAATTTTGCACCATTATTGAAACTATTTGAATTTAGCCGAAGTTTTCAAACATTGCCGTAATCGGGGTCAAATTCAAAATTTTATTACATTATTAACTGTATCAAATAATGAGCTAAATTCTGATCTAGGAAAGTTTGTTTTTGTCTTCGAGTTCCCTTTCAAGTATTCAAAGCTAGGAAATCTTCAATCGAAATTTTCCTCGCGTTTTCGACATTTTCTTTAGAGGTACTTTTTTCAAAGTTTGGCGTGTCAATCATATGACGGATTAAAACAGATTTCTCTATTTGAATGCCATTAACTCGGAACTTTCGAGTCGAAATTATTTAAATTTTAAAAGACTTGTTGCACTGGGTGAAATTTTTAGAAATTGTCCTGCCCACCCGTAATTTGATGATTGTGGATTGGGATATTTTCTAATATGTAGGATTGGCGAGTTCAAGAAATGGTTCCAGAAACGAGAACAGATCAAAGAAACGGTTCCTCGTTTGGTCTACACGAGGGAATCCCTTCTAGAAATAGCGAAGCATCAGTTATCGATGGTGACCCCGGCTTGTTTGCCCTGGCTGGTTGAAAATGCTCCTTGGATTGTTCGTCAGGTTAGTTCTCCGTCATGTTCGAATCGTTGAACATTGAAAGCGAATCGTGGAATTTTGCAGGACCTGAGTTGGGAAGTTCGCGATTGTTGGTCTGAACCGAGAGGGAATAATTTTAGTGAGTCGTCGTCGAGTGAATCAGATGCAGAAGATCTGAAAGATTTGAAGCCGATTCCCCGTATCCCGTCTAAGATGACTACCTCCGAAAGTGAGTCTTTCTTTTGGTTTGTGGAAGTTCAATTGCGCAAGTTTCACCTGTCCGTGCCGTATAATCGCAAATTTTGGGCGCAGTTTTTTTTCTTTTTACTGAAAACCTAAGCGTCTGTCCTTTTAATGGTGTTCCAGATTCGCATTTACGGTTAAAAACCATTTCACGAGAAGATAAAAAAATGTGCACCCAGTGAACTCGCTGAGCATTTTTCTTCCTCTAAGAATAAGTTCGAAGTACTGTACCGTATTACATCATTTGAAAAAAATACGTCGTACAGTTTTCTATCCTACCGTACTTACAGTTCAACTTAAACCCGCGACGAAGTTTCTGTTGAATGTATTTTTCGAGTTCTAAGTTTTTCTAAGCTACAGGAATGTTTTCTAAAATACCGTAATTTGACTCGAAGAGAATTTTGGGTAAGCTTCTTCATGCGGTTTATAATTTTATAGTGCTTGAGAATTATTTTTTAATCGGTGCACTTTTTGAGCTTCCCTTTACACTGTGTACAGTACAGTAAAGTTTATGGTACTGTTCCATGGTGGTACCTTGTCCGTAAAATTCGCTAGGTAAGGTGGTGAACTTTTTATTCAATGGTTAGGACTTTTCATGAGATATTGGATGAATGACATATTATATTTCGCTTGAATGCCATGTTTGTTTTAACGAAAGCGATTTTTTGGCAAGGACCTGAATCATTTAATGAAGCATCCGTTGCCAGCGGCAAATCGGAGGTTCAGGGAAAAAAGGAAGAAGTCCTCACTGCGAAGGATGGATTTCCTGCGCATTCAAGAAGCAGTTCAGTCTCAGTTCCTGTTAGTGTTGCGAATAAAACGAAATTAGTGCCTGTTAGACTGCCGTCAGCAAAAGTGCAAACGGGTGAGCTGCTCATGAAATTTTTGTGTGGGTCCGTAAAAAAAAGGAAATTGTTCGTAAAAATGCTTCAAAAATTATTTTAGTGCATATTATATTTTCAGGACTTTCCGTCACGAAAGTTCAGAGTCGAGTGAAACCCGCATCGAAGGCTGTCACTGTTTCTGCCGCCGAATCCCTTGCCGCCAAAGTTGATGCGATGCTTCGGAAGCGCCCCGCAAATCCCCGGGCCACAAATGGCTCTGATCGGGTTTCTACTCGCAATATCCCAAAATCCCGAAGCTCCGATGAATGACAGTGGATATGGAATCCCCTGAAATTTTGAATAACGGCTTCCCGCTTTGACTTAATACAGCATCTCTCCTCTTTTTTGTCCTCAAGTTTCGCTTTTCACTGCTGAATTCTGATTCGACGCGATTAACCTGTAAACGTAAGGATACCATCGCATCGTGCTCAATGTTGTTCTTTGTTGTGTTCATTTGGCATTATCTGGAATACAGTATATCACCGAAAATGCTGGTTCACGTGAAGGCGACTTACGTGATGACTCAAAGTCTTCGAAAGTAATAACGATCGGGTGTCCAGAAATTTTACTGCACTGTGGAAGTTCTAATTTATGAAAAGTGATTCAATGTCGATAGGTGTCACTAGCTGTGGGATACTTTTCGTGTTACTCTGAGTCATGCCACTTTGCATCTGTCTCGGGACTTTTACTACGCATGCAGCAAGTTCACGAATAAACCAGATGAGGAAAAGAGTTGATTTAGATTGTCAAACGTTATTACTTCGAAAAATACTGTTATTATTCATGTCCAGTCTTATGATTTTATTCGCCTTGTTTGTCGCGTGGTATCGGAAATCTGTAAAGCCAGATTAAATTAAAGTTGGCAAATTTCAGAGATACATACGAGAACTGTCCGTGCTTTTAAATTGTAAGAACGAATAGGAAAACGTTCAAGAGCAATTTAAACGATGTTCATTAGCTCTAATTATTCGGTATATATGCAGGTATTGATGGTTAAAAATCGGTATGAAAATTATCAACGTGCTCAATGTTGTTCTTTGTTGTGTTCATTTGGCATTATCTGGAATACAGTATATCACCGAAAATGCTGGTTCACGTGAAGGCGACTTACGTGATGACTCAAAGTCTTCGAAAGTAATAACGATCAGGTGTCCAGAAATTTTACTGCACTGTGGAAGTTCTAATTTATGAAAAGTGATTCCATGTCGGTAGGTGTCACTAGCTGTGGGATACTTTTCGTGTTACTCTGAGTCATGCCACTTTGCATCTGTCTCGGGACTTTTACTACGCATGCAGCAAGTTCACGAATAAACCAGATGAGGAAAAGAGTTGATTCAGATTGTCAGACGTTATTACTTCTAAAAATACTGTTATCATTCATGTCCAGTTTTATGATTTTATTCGCCTTATGTTTGTCGCGTGGTATCGGAAATCTGTAAAGCCAGATTAAATTACAGTTGGCAAATTTCAGAGATACATACGAGAACTGTCCTTGTTATCCGTGCTTTTAAATTGTAAGAACGAATAGGAAAACGTTCAAGAGCAATTTAAACGATGTTCATTAGCTCTAATTATTCGGTATATATGCAGGTATTGATGGTTGAAAATCGGTTTGAAAATTATCAATCCGTGCTTTTAAATTGTAAGAACGAATAGGAAAACGTTCAAGAGCAATTTAAACGATGTTCATTAGCTCTAATTATTCGGTATATATGCAGGTATTGATGGTTAAAAATCGGTATGAAAATTATCACGAAAAATCCACCCTTTTTTCAAGTTGTGATTGAAGGGTTGAAAAAAGGGGGGACAATACCCAGAACCCGTCGCGCGTTCAAAACCTTGTCAAATTATTCCCCCTCAATTTTCGTTTTTTTTTTTCTGGAAACACGAAGAAAAATTCGAGACGTTTCTGCTGCAATAACTTCTGGACACTCTTGAATTAAATTTCGTGCAAACATCCCGAAGTGAAATGAGCTGATTTACTGTACTGTGATGTGCCCTGTGTCCATTGCAGATGTGAGGCCCGATGATGAGAGCCTGAGTGTAAAAGCGATGGCTCGACGATTTCGGATGGAATTTTGAAAAGGAACCCCGTTCAGGAGTAAATCTTGATGATTTACTCCAATTAATCGTAGTACGAGAATTATGAACGAACTTGACGTGAACTTCGGTTTGGTTTCTGCCGCTGTCACTGCTGTTACCTTGGCTGCTGCGTACGTGTTATTTGGCGGAAACGCATCAGTAAGACGACGAAAGGGGAAATCGGGCTCACGTCTAAGACCACTCAAGCGATTAGGACCCATAAAAGCAAATTTAGGGACATAAATGCGAAAATAGCTTAGTTTACCAACAAAACAAAAAGAAAATACTTTGTTAAGGTGAATATTAGGACGATCTCTTCAGAACGGAACGATGCGTGATGTGTCGTTTCGAAAATTATGTGCCGTATCGCTGCTAGTCCTCTTTCAAAGGTAAAATTGTTCATGTGTACAGATGTTCAAGGTAGATGTCGCTGCTACTGTGGGAGAACGTAAATTTGAATACAGTAGTATAGTCATCAAAATTCCTTCTGCGATTTTGCACTGTTGCGCAGTAATGAGATTTCCGGCAGTATAGTACAGATGGCACGATTTTTGGAGAAATTTAACCAGTTGACAAAACCATGTTTCGTATTTTGAAGAATTGTTTTTTAATCTCTACACATTCTTTGTAAATTCCCGCGGGCGTGTGTGTGTGTGAGTGGATCGAATTCACAACTTTTAATGCTTGTCATAATTTCAAGTTTTCAAGATCTCCCTAAAAAGGCATCTACCTTTATAAGGTCCTGAACACTTGTCACCTTTATGAACGAAGCACTTACGCGAAGAAGTTCGAAATAGTAGAGAGTACATGAAAATGCTTACCTAAGCGCAGTGAGCTAAGGTTCATGGTCTTCCTGTTCATCGTTTGTCCCTGAGTGCCGTCGCTCCAACGAGAAACCAGATGCAAAAAGTTGGAAATCTGGTTGACGTTTTAGAAAATGTCGTCAACGTGCTTAATGACCAAGATGAGTCGTTTCTGGGAAACGTTTTTGATCCCGCGGCAGTGTTGGACAGTTTGCGGAAAGATGGTTGGGTAATTGGTCCGGATGAACAAGATTTGCACGAATTTTTCTTGGTACTTCTCAACACGATCGACGAACATTTGACTGGGAAACCCGAGCCTTCGCTGAAGGATGTGTTTGAAGCTCCGATTCCGAAGTTCCCCGGAGAGATTCCTTCGAAAACCCGTCACACGTTTTCCGGGATCGAATCGAACGACGCGAAAATCGCGGGTTTGGTTGGATTGGAGCGGCCATTTCGTGGTTTGATGGCGTCGCAGCTCATGTGCACTTGCTGCGGAAAAAGGACTGCGTTGAAGCACGATTCGTTTTCCAGCGTCTCCCTTGCGTTCCCTGGGAACAATCCGGGAATGTATTTTGCTAGAACGAATTTGATGGAACTCTTGAGGGGTTATTTTGCATCGGATGTGGTTCATGACGTACTTTGTGGGCATTGCTCGTCGCTTGCCGGCGATGGTGCATCAGTGAGAAGAGTCTTTGTGAAGGATACCTACATGGGAAAGGTAAGAATTGTATCACTTGAATTGAGAAGAAAGAAAGAGCTCACAACTTCCCTCTCTTTTACGCATGACGTGTTCCTTATTAGACACGACAAAAAACTCCTTCGGCACTTTGGGTAGTAGTAACCAACTAAACCCAATGTTAGATTCATCTTTTTTTCGAGGACGCCATGTATTACCGTAATTGATGCTGTGGGATTTAATTGTTACTTTTTTTTTACACAAATAAATCTGAATGGCGTGTATAAAACTTTTCAATTATGGAGCATGAAGAAATTTGTGTCGCCGGGGAGGGGGAGCGGTCTTTTTTTTAATTATTTCGACAGTTTTCGCTTTGACGTTTAAATTGGAGATATGTTTTTGCATGTGACACCTTCGGGCAAAAATTACTGAAAATGACGTTTTGAATCATCAAGCAACCGAATAAATGTGTTGACCTCTGTTTTCAATAGCGGCTTCTTATGCATTGCGCGAACTTTTGAAATATCCCTCGAAATATTTGAAACTGGTTCCTTTAATCGGGAATCTCGTGTCGTCAATTTACCTGGAAACTTATTTCTTAATTCTTGTATATTGTGGGAATTCATTTCTTCCTTTTTTCAGTTGCCTAAATGCCTGTGTTTGCATATCCAAAGAACCCGTTGGCTTCCAGATGGGCGGGCGATCAAATGCAGTTTTCCTGTTGATTTTTCCGAGNCTTTCTTTCTCGAGTGTTGAAGGGAGAGAAAATGCGTACTGCACAAGGAATAATCTGTGCTGTTTTTTGAGGAAGCCGTGAAACCCATCATCATTGGTTGATTTGGGTTACAATCTAAGTAGAAAAACTTGATGACGCTATGTATTACCGTAATTGATGCTGTGGGATTTAATTGTTACTTTTTTGTACACAAATAAATCTGAATGGCGTGTATAAAACTTTTCAATTATGGAGCATGAAGAAATTTGTGTCGCCGGGGAGGGGGAGCGGTCTTTTTTCAATTATTTCGACAGTTTTCGCTTTGACGTTTAAATTGGAGGTATGTTTTTGCATGTGACACCTTGGGGCAAAAATTACTGAAAATGACGTTTTGAATCATCAAGCAACCGAATAAATGTGTTGACCTCTGTTTTCAATAGCGGCTTCTTATGCATTTCGCGAACTTTTGAAATATCCCTCGAAATATTTGGAACTGGTTCCTTTAATCGGGAATCTCGTGTCGTCAATTTACCTGGAAACTTATTTCCTAATTCTTGTATATTGTGGGAATTCATTTCTTCCTTTTTTCAGTTGCCTAAATGCCTGTGTTTGCATATCCAAAGAACCCGTTGGCTTCCAGATGGGCGGGCGATCAAATGCAGTTTTCCTGTTGATTTTTCCGAGTATCTGGATCTCGAGGAGTTCGTCTTCACACCTAGATCTAGTCGGCTACGATCTGTTCAGGTTCGTGAATGCTTCACTGCTCAATCAAAAGCATCAACCTGCTTTTTTCAGAGCAACTTCAAACTTTTTATTTATTGGCTATGGTTAATCACTTCATGTAGTCAATGCCCCGAAGCAATTTTGCATGTCCGCAAGCAAAAATCTGTGTCTCTAGCTAATTGCTGTACAGCATGAATACAGCTTGCTCAAATTTGATGACGTAGATTATTAATTGTCGAACGTCGTTTGAAACGTGGATTCTTCGAGGTTAAAATCTAAAAATTGAAAGTAATTCGACCTCCACTTTTTGTTTTCCAGCCCGAGCCCGTAAAAGCCAAGACTCTGGCGTCTCTCGTCAAGTCTGCATCCATAGATCAAACCCCTTCAACCGTGTTTCAACTGAAAGCTGTGGTGGAACATTTGGGTGACACTGCAGCTGGACATTTCGTCACTTATCGAAGAGGTCCAATTGGCTCTCAATCGCGGGATTTGTGGTTCTACACGAGTGACACCCGAGTGCAGCCGACATCTCGTTCGCACGTGTTCCAAGCGATCCCTTACATTCTTTTCTACGAACGCGTATCTGCTGGATAGCGTGTTTTGGATAAGCTCCGTTTTTTTTCTCTTGAGGGAAGGAGGAGTATAGAATTCATAGCTTTCGCTTGTGCGGATTATGAAAGAAACTTCGTTGTGATTTGTCTTGTGAACGATTCGAGGAGTGAGGTCATCTGAAATGCGTGGAACAACCGTACGCACTTTTCTGGGGGACGGTGGGGGTGGTACAATTTGACTTGGAAAAAATTTCAGACTTTATCTGATTGAGTAGGTTTTATCAAAGTAATGTGCTGTATTTGTTTTCTAGTCTCTTCTTATAGCTTCAAAGATTCTTTTCCCTGTTTTTTAATTGCTTTCGATTCTTGGTCTAAAAATTATTTCTTCTGATTCCCGAAGCTGAACTAGAACGGGGAAATTCTGTGAAAGAAGAAAATAAGACCTGATGTGTGAGTCGTTTCGAAAGCTTTCAGTGTAGGTATGTTTGCTCAATGAGACCAGAGGAATAAAAATTGCTTTATAAGTCACCCAAGTGTTTTAATTTAATTTATCGATCGTATGTTCCGATGAAAGGGCGGCGAAAATTTGATTATTTGTGAAGAGTTTTTTGATTTTCCCTCAAGGATGATCTGGAGTTTGAACCGCGTGAGATGTTGGAAATGTCATCACTACGATTTCTGGGTTTTGAGACGATGGAAGTCAAGTGCTTGGACGGAGAGTTATTCAGCCACGGTTTTGTTGCCAAAAACTGGTTTTCGACGGAGAATTGCGAGAGCGTCTCGTCCGCAAGATGATATCAGTCGTGCTGAGGTTTGAGATTTCTCTTCTGGAACGTAGAGCTCTTCAACTTTTCAATTCTTGCCGATTTTTACATTTTTATTCGGCCCTATCACGATTTTTGTTGTGATGTTTTGAAGTAATGTTCGAAGGTAGCTGTTTAAATTGAATTGTTAGCACAGGTGGACTCTTTCTACAACGATCTTGAATTTTTTCCTGTCCCATTGGGTTCTCTCGCCATGTTATGGTTTTCCTTATTACGAAATTCTCTACAACCCATTTTTCCTGAACCCTTGCATTTTTTTTTTGTGGACGGAGCCTACGTGTATAACTCATTCTTGAGAGTGGGTTGCAACAGTTCGAAGCCATTAGAGGCACTCACAGTTTGAGGCTCCAGCCTAAAATTATCTCCCCTGCATGACACTAAGAGATCTCTTTTTTTTGTTTTTCAACTTGTTAGCTCAAGCTGTTTAAAGAACAGTACAGTATTGGTGCAGCTAATCACTTGTGTATTTTTCAAGGACAAATTGAGACTACTAAAATCTGCAAGGATTACGGGGGTGCCTCGTTTAACGGACTGAATCTGTTGTCAAAAACTTAAAGCTTAATTACAAAGATCGTATGTGACGAGGTTCATTTCTTGAACAAGAAAAATGCAAAAAATGTCTAAAAAATTAGGAAATTTTAACACCACTGGATGCAATAATTTCGTGTTACTCCAAGAATTTGAACCGTCAGCCACATTTGCCGGAGTAAGTTCATTTTCCACAAATTATCAAATTTAACGGAGTCTGTTATCCGAATCAAAAATCGACGTCAGCATGAGCATGTAGAACAATTTTTTTTTCTATTTCGAAGCTTCTGTTGATGATTCCTGTTGGCCTTTACATTCGTTGATGCTTTTGTGATTCGTTCCTGTGGGAAGGCACTTCTTCAATATTTTCTATCATCATTTCGAAACCCGTTTTATAAATTGCTGTAACAATCTTTTCAGTCTTGTGGGAATGTGATTTCAGAAATCCGGATTTAGCCAACTGTACGATTGGCAAAAGCAGCTAGAACGACCAGAATTCGTGTTGCATGATGGTCCACCCTATGCAAATGGTGATTTGCATATGGGCCACGTTGTGAACAAGGTTAGCTGTAAAAATGCGATTTTTTCAAGTGTTACTCGAAAACAACTGGAAATGTTCTAGGTATTGAAAGATGTGGAATTGCGTCGTCAGTTGGTCAAAGGGAACAAAGTCCGCTTTGTTCCTGGTTGGGATTGCCACGGGTTGCCTATTGAGCTGAAAGCTTTGGGGGATCGC